TTTGCGCCTGGCTGATGAAAAAAGTTTTCTCCTTCATTCACACTCGCTCTATTCTTGTTGGATATTGAAAAGAGGCGAATGGGAAAAAAATTGGATCTCGACCTCTACTGTAATTTGAGTGTGGCAGAGGAGCCGCCGTAGCAGTACTGGCAGTGTAGCATCAGCATAATATTTAGGGGAAAAGTGAGTGCGGTGCAGAGAAAAAGCGGCGACGACAACGCCCATAGCGCAGATAATTTGGACATGGGAGCAAAACGAGGATAGCGTATTCGAAAGGAATGAGAGAGAAACATTTTAATTGAATCGATGACATCATCGGCCATCATTTTTTATTTTTCATAAAGTCATCGAAGTCAGCGAAACCGATGCATCTTTCGTTACTTTAATCTAGTTATTTTACTATTTTCAGTAATATGCTTTGCACGTTGCAAAATACTACAATGTTCATATAAAAGATTAAATTAAATGTTCCGTTTTTTTCGGCATAGGGCGAGTGTTTTTATTAGTTTGACCTCGCAACCGCTTGCCGAGCTAAAGAAAGAAAGAGATGGGTAGAGGAGAACGTGAAATTTTTGGCTTTCTACAGTTGCAGAGAGAGTGCTATTGAACACGTCACACACACAGTCCTTTCTGTCATACACACGCGTGCCCTCGCTCCCGTTCAATGTTGGAACGAAACACATAATGTTGTAAGTTTATGCTTAAGCGTGCACACGCATACTGGCACATAGGGGAGCATAAACTGCTTTCCTCTGCAAAAGCTGACACCGTGATGTCTTTGCTTTTGGCCTTTTGGATTTTGGTCTTTCTCTTTGTATTATGTTTTCTCTGTAAGTATATCGCCGGACAGGGTAGAAAGATAAGTGATCCAGCAAAACGTAAGTAGTAAAATTGTTTTTCCTTGTGCCTAAATTGAATTGTGTTTGTTATGTACTACATTATTCAATGTAAGAAAAGCATGTTATCATGTTTTATAACTTGTTTTTTTTATCAGCACAATCGTACTATTTGTTGAATCTAATGTCGTTTGCGTTTTTGCGGTGTAGCTATACCGGTGCTACACTGCCGTACACCGAAATAATTTAAGGTGTAGATATAGGATGCACCTTTGTTTACAAACAAATGATGTTGAGCTGTCAAAGACTCACGCTTATTCCTGCTTACGCTACACCGTTGCTACACCGCAAAAACGATTTACGATTTTTAAATCAATGTTGTATTACAGTTATCTATCCAAACCTAGACCCCATCGTCATCGTCGGTACCGGGTTTCAATGGTTAATGGATTCTTCTCACTACATCGTGAAAGGGACGAACGGGAAAGGATTTGCCTTGGTATGGCTCGATTGCCTTAGAAAAATTGTTTTTGCTTACTAAGTAGAACATCATGTGTTCAATCTCCCTTTCACATTCAATATTCGTTAATCGCTTTCTTTATCAATTTAAACCCATGACTTTAACTTTAATTCAGCGTATCGGATGCCAAAACCAGATATTTATGAGGATTTCTCGGCTTCCAACAAAGCGAGTATCACGTCCACAAATTCGTAGCCATTCCTTGATTGACCTGGACGTGGTTGGAGCTGGTTTTGCCTATTATAAAGTTTGAGATCTCATAGCTAGTCCCAAGCGTCATCTGTGCTTTTCTGTGTAATTACAGGTGATGTAGCAATAACAGAGTAGCAACCGCGGACGGCCAATCATGCTAATGCTAGTATCATGTTGTGTAACACTTAACTTTCGTTAGATAAAAGTAAGAAGTCTATTTCCACGAAAAAAAAAACAGGAATATCAAGAATAAATTACTGTATAACTTGCATACGATTATTATATAGGGTAATTCTTGAGAGCTTTTTGAATAGGTAAAAAAAATGAGATTTTAAATCCGATTGCAGTAACTCTGCCTACACGTAAATTTGGGCCCGCTACCTTATTTCTGTTTAATTTGCTCATCAAAATACTACTTGTCGTATGTCCCAACCGAGCACAATGTTATATACGACACCTAATGTCGATTCGATAGATGCGTAACAATTGTACGTACAACCTGTTGATTTTTTTTTCCCAAGAATAGTGCAAATTTTGTAAATCATCAATGTAAAACTGCTGTAGGTTGTCTATAAAATGATAACTTCGCTGTCCGTGATAGCACATTTTTTTAAACCGCTAAAATGCAGGAAAAAGGGCTTATATCTGTTCAATACTTTACTCAAACGATAGCAGCACTCCTGAGATGCTAATAGTTGGTTTATTTTGGTGAGCATAACATTATTTTTATTTTCAATGATCCTTGATTTTCTTCTAGAACACTTTGAGAAAACTGGATCTTATTTATGCTAGCATCAAAAATCTTGAATTGATTGCATCATTTTCTTAAAATCGCTGGTAGGAGGTCGTCGTAAAGCTGCTCAACTATATGATTAATATATGTCGGCCCAAATGTCCCCAATTTGGGCCCATACATTAATTCAGCAATCGACTCAATTTTCAATAGTGACCAAAAATATTCATTAGTACTGTCTCAATGACGCGTTCATCTAGATAAAATTGATAAATAGCAGCTTTTTAGCGATGGGCCCAATATTAGATCCAAAGGCCAACATTAGAACCATTTCCCCTTTGAATTTTGAAAAATCTTTAAAGCTCGGTAGCTTTAGTATTCGTCCAAACATCAAGCAAAAATCATGTCGCAGAATCGTGAATTATTTTCTTAGTCCATTAAATTGTTTTGTTTTTTGCTGGACTTGTTACATGCAATATAAAAAAAAAACCAAGACCAGATTTTAGAAAAATATCTATGTCCAAGATCATAAAATGTCATTTATGTTTCAAAAGCATTTACATTTTTCTAGGACTGTGAACTTACTTTAATTACTTTCAATATATAATAATTGTTCCAAGCCGCACAATTGTCTTAATTTGTTTGTCTTAGAGATCTAGAATGTTTAAGTCCCAGCATTGATTAATTGGTTTAAAATCTCTAAAATTTGTCCCAGATCGATATTTTTAGTCCTAGAAACATGCAATTTTCTATGTCCGCGATCTTTCCATGTTGGCAAATTTTCCTTGTTCTAAATTTGGTCTTAGACTGCTATCTAGAAAAGTTGCGTAGGTCCCATAGTTATGCTTTAAAATTTAATGAAAATAGTCCGTGACTTTGAACATTTTTCTATGTGCCTATTTTTTCGCCAATTTGACCGATCTGACGCGAATTATCTGAATCTAAAATCATCTTAATAAATTGTTTGTTGTTCGAGTCAGAAAAATGAATATAGAGTGAGGAAATGGGCAATGCATTAATGCAATTAATTATTATATGATTACCTAATAATAATTATACAAATAATAACCAAATTTATAAGATCATTAAACAATTATTTGTTTTATTTTGAAGGAGCATGAACAATGCTCATATGGGTTGTGATTGTGAGTTTGTAAAAATTCTGGAAGTGGGTCGCAGTCAACGAAAGATTGGAACAATAATTCTTTTCGTTCAATAAAAGACACTATTAGTCACTTGTTATTGTTTTAAAGTCACTATTTTCATTAATTCAGTCACTTAAGTCACTACCATTATATTTATATATATTTTCATAAGCTTTCAGAGAAAAATATCCATCCAAACACAGAGTAACCAACAATAAATACAAAAGGCTTGCGACGACTTTCACGACAAATTTTCTGCGTTTATTATCTCCTGCGTATGTTGCGAATAAGCTTGTAAACAACTTTTCCTGCCACCGTTCCTATCAATCCCTACTGGAAAGGGAGTTTTTCATGAAAAAAGGCACGTGGATTTTGTCGTTATTACTATACTTGCCGTTACTGACAATGCATTATCATTTGGATCGTTGGTCGCATGTCATTTTGAGATATTTTTGATTCTCTGGTTAGAAGAAATCAATCAGTTTTAACTTGTTAAAACAATAGCAAAAAAGGTTATCTTCCATTTAATTCCACTTAATTAATTTTGGTATTCATGACAGATACGTATTTCGACTACTTAATGCTTAATAAAGTGGAATTAAATGGAAGATAACTTTTTTGCTGTTTTATTTAAAGTATTCCGCTAGCAATCCAATTTCATTACTTCATTGCTAAACAAGCTTGTCTACCGACTCGACAAACATTCAAATCCAAAAATTGAATTAACAATCACATCAATGACATGACATGTGACATGACCAATAAAAAAAAAAGAACTAAATACTATTTAGTAAATAGTGAAAAAGTGATTTTGGTTTGGATCTTGAAGAGTTATGAATGGGAGGTGAAGAAAGCGGTCCTATCTGTTGGATACTCAGTAAGTTTGATTAGCATGAAATAAATAATGTGAAATGCAGGTGCAGGTGCTTTTGAACATTCTGTGTTAATTTTACCAAAGGAGAGAATTAAATCGGGTAAAAAGATAATGCAGCACAACTTGATCAGATCATTCTTATTTTGTAGTGTTCGAATTAAACGAAAGCATAAAACGTTGAAACGCTATCTACAGAGCAGAACAGCAAAGTGTCAGGTGTCACTGACATTTTTCAAACACCATCTAGAAAATGCTATATGCTGATAATCTTATCGTATTTTCATATTTCTATTTAATCAATTTCTTTCCATCCATCCGTTCGTCGTCAGCAAGCACCATATAGTGCAAGATTCACAAGACGGCTCACTGGAGCCTAGCATTTTTGGATTGTTGCCACCGTTTCGTGCCAGTAAAGATTTCCTCGCTGTCAAAGTATGCGCTTCTCCTGTTACGTTACGGATGTTGATTACGCGAGAGCGAGAGCTATTCGTCACACCAGAACGCGATCTCCTCATAATAATAATAACAACAACAACCACAACTGAGCAGAAAAGTCAAAATACAGCGAGAAGTGCGAGAGCATCCGTCTATCAGTCCATGTTAGTTCGGTAGCTTTATGCCTAGCGTGGAGGCGACGAAGCAGCGATTGCGCAATCGCAGCCCGTGGTCACTCTTGAATCTACCTACTGCTGTTTGTGAGCGTGTGTACATCTATAACGTACATGCAGTGTAGCAGAGTTCTGTATGCTTCCATGTCACACGGTCACAGGAACGCGAGAGAAGTGGCGATTTTCGTACAGGCAAAAAGAGTCACTTTGCTAATATCGAGCGAGTGTGCTGAAAATGGTAAAAGATTTTTCTTCCTCATGTGAAGGCATCGTTTGATCGGAAAATTTGTCTGCTCTACTCACGGAAAACTGTCGCAAAAGTTTAGGTTTATTGGAAATTTAAGCCTACGGATTACTTGTGATATTTCCTGGAAACACGTAACGTCCGGGTGAGTAACATATTTTTGGTGTTAAACTGTGTCGTCCGACCTAGTGACAAACATGAACCGAAAAAACAGCAAGGAAGAGACAGTGTAACGGTGCCTAAAATAAAGTTTGCTTGTGGTTTTTCTTGATTTGTTCACGGCCTCGAGTCATTAATTTATAACTGGATGTCGTCATCGATCACATTGGAAAATGTAAAAATGCTGAAATAATGTATTCAGGTCGAAATAAGAAGGTCAGAATTGCACTGATTTAGTTATTTGATGGAAACATCTACATTGACATTAACAGATTAGCATTAATGTAGGCTGATTCCATGTGCCATAAAATCGACAGTAAGCTAAGAGTGGAAAGATCTATTTTTGGACATATGTAATCGGTATCTTTCGCTCACCAAGAATTCCATTTTTACGCTATACCGACGACCAAGGCGACTGAGATCTGTAGCTTTGTTCGATACACTGGCTGGCTTACTCGCTTGCTTCCTTCTGTCATCCCTAGACAGGCAAGAAATTTTCACATATACCTACCTAGTTGTTAATACTACTTTTTCTTTCGATATGGCTACCATCCGCAGTGTAGTTTTGCAATAGCCGAAATCTGAAGTGGCATGGAGGATATGAATTTTCCACTTGAACACAACAATCGCGGTCGAGGCGAAAAATCACGATCAAAGTTTTGTTTTTTTTTGGCACAGCCGTTTTCCTTGTAGGAAGCGTAATATTGATTTTCCGAATTTTTTTTCTCCATCCTATTCAGCGGTAGCAACAGCTTCGACGACGACGACGACGTCTGATTGCCGCAAGAGTGAGTAAGCGAACTAATGCCTTTTCGGCATGTCTCATACTGCTCAAAATTGGTGAAAACGGATGCTTATCTCTGTACCTTGTCGCATTTCATTTGTCGCGATTGAACGGATTTAGTATAAATCATCACATGATTCCTTTCTTTTTGGAGTTAACATGGTGTTGTGATGAGTGCTTCTTTAGGTATGGTTTCTTTTGGCTTAATTACAGACTATTTTCTTGGTTCGTCAAATTCGGGACAAATGCATATACAAAAAAGACTTACCCCTAACTGCACATATTCCAACAACGTATCACTAACGCAAGTAAGGTTGGGTAGATTGAGCTATTTTTAGTAATCAGTCGACAAATTCCGTACTGATTGATTCTCAATGAGAACTTAATAAGCACAGGGACCCCCGTTGAACGCCCGAAGGACCCTGAATGTAAGTCTAAAGGATCGTGAGGCAAGTCCACAATAATCTGAAGGTAAATTCAAAAGACTCGCATGATTAGTCAGAAGAACTTCATTAGCAAACCTAGGTAACGATAGCTTCTCTAGAGGACCTCAGGTTAACAATTCTTGCCAGTTGGGACGTAATAGTCAAAAAGAAGAAGATTAAACTCGTATCTTCTCAACTTTTTGAAAATCTTTCAAACCCTTACGTTTTTTTTTCAGTGGTTCGTTGCACCAAAGTATGCCTACAAGATCTATCTTAATGATGAATGATCGGACGAATGTGAAGAATTTGAAAGCAGACGTAGCATATTTTTTAGACACCCCCTTCCACCTCGTAATGTATTTTTTTATACCTAATACATAGTAAGATTGAGAACTTTCACATGTAAAGTATTGTTCAATGTTTGGACACTATCCGTAATATGAGCATGGTATGGTCCAGTTGTGATTTTTTTTTAAATATACGATTTGATTATCGACTCAAAACTAACTATCATCTATATCAGGCGTAACATTTGATAACGGCACAAAAGTTTTTGTAAACAAACTTTGTAAGGCCCTTTGCACGCGAGCCGAAGTACGCCCACGCAAACCAACAACATTATCGGGTATGGGCAACTCTCACCTTTCCGAAAGTGGTATTGGTTTGCGTGGGCGTACTTTGGTTATCTTCTTTAGGTATGGTTTCTTTTGGCTTAATTACAGACTATTTTCTTGGTTCGTCAAATTCGGGACAAATGCATATACAAAAAAGACTTACCTAACTGCACATATTCCAACAACGTATCACTAACGCAAGTAAGGTTGGGTAGATTGAGCTCCGTCCGTTGTAGTTTTTTTTTTATAAAAAATTGTATTAATCTGATTGGAACTAGTTCCGATAAGTTCGATGAAAACGTACCGTTTAAATTGCGGCTGAGTGGCTCAAACGCGTAGAAAAACGTATTTGTTTCGTACATGCTTACGCAGTGCCAAAATCAAAATTTCCTTCAAGTATCTTCAAAAACATCCCCTAGCAGAATTGTATATTTTGATAAGACAAGTAATCTTAAAGGTACTTTATGATTTGAAATCTACAGAACAAGTAGTGTATTCAGCTAAGTTGTTTCCGATAATATTTTCTACAACTCGAGTAACACATGTCATAAAAAGTTGTATCAACTTGTGAATGGGTATAATCAGTTGTGTAGAAGTTTACTGACCATACCAATTCTTACAATAAGACAAAATGTTGCCGTAAAAACATTATACAGCGGCGAAACACTAGGTATGTATGTTAGGCTAATTCATTTGTTCTTATTTGTTTCATGTTGAGAATATCTAAGGAGCTGATAGGATAATTTCAAAGGCATTCGGAGGAGAATTCTAAAGAAGTTCTGGAAAGAAATGTGCGTAAAACTTCAAGTCAAATCTGAGGATTGCTTTCAAGGTAGTTTTGAGGAACTTCAGATTCAAGGTGAAAGAGAATTCCAAGGTAATTTTAAGTATCATTCCAAGGAATTGCCGGATTTTATTCAAAGGAAATTGTATAAATTTTGAAGAAGTTTCCTAGAGAAATCTGAAGATAATTTCATAATAATTCCATGGCGATTGAAATGGGAATTCCAAAACAATTCTTATGAGGAAGAATTTCAAGAAATGTATTGTGTTATACTAAGGATAATTAGGATTAAATGTGAGGAAAATTCCAGAAGAACTGCAGATGAATTCAAAGGAGAATACAATGAGAGTTTTAACTAGATGTACAAAGTAATTGCAATAAGATTTCTATAGGATTTGTGAAAAAACTGCTAGTGAATTATAAAAAGTCCAAAGTACTTGGTTATAGAATTCAAAGGGAATTATGTAAAGAATTCAATTACAAATTATAAGGATGCTTCCAAAAGAATGCCAAAGAAAACTCAAATGAAATTGAATTCCGAGGAGAGTTCCAACGAAATTTTGACGGAAATTTTAAGAGTATGCTTACGATAATTTTAATTCTTTCCTTCTCAGAAGATTTTGTTGTTGTTGGTGTGCAATTCCTAAGTTTCAGGGCTAGTAGCAGGTCATTTTTTAGTGACTTGGTCACTATTTTGAAGCCAGTCACTAAAAAGTAACTTTTTACACCAAAAAGTCACTAAAGTCACTATTTCCCTAGAAATAGTCACTAAAGTCACTTTTTCACTACTAAAATAGAGTTAAATTTAAAAATATCAACAAAATGTTTAAACTGTGTATTTGGCACTAAGAAAGTCTACAGTAGTTTTAACAAAGTATTCATATCTGTTAAAAAATTGATAATTTTAACCAGGGTGACCAGTAAATCTTAAAACTTTAGAACACCAGGAAAGTTATTGAAAAATGCCTTCAATTTCGATTAAAAATCGGGGAAAATATACCTCCTTTCCCAGAAAATAAATTGTAAACCTTGGAAACTTTCCACAAGTATTTGTCTGTGATAGATTTTCAAAAGATTTTCAAGAACTTTAAAAAATCCAAAGTAAATTTAAAAGAATTTTAAATGATTCTAGGGATGACAGCAAGACATATCAGAGAAGAATACCAAAGTACAGAGTACGAAAGTCTCATGTAAAATTAAATGCTCTGAGGACCGATTTCTTCATCTCCGCTTAAATCTTAAGCCAGGTTTACCTACATAGTGGAACTTGGCTTAACACATACATGCGTCGCTTTTGATTATTTTTTAAATTATAACAGACGCAAAATTCAGCTCGGAAACAATTTTGAAAATATTTCCAATTTAATTGAGAGTGAATTTTAACGACAGTTCTGAGGAGATTTATTGGATGAGGATTCTAGGTCCAATTATAAAGAGAACAAAGATGGTCTCTGCGGATTGTTCTAAAAGAATTCTGGGGTGACTTGGTAGCCATCATAATGAAGTAATGAAATTGGGTTGTTAGTGGAATGCTGAAATAAAACAGCAAAAAAAGGGTTATCCTATTTCCGTAATTTTAGTCACTAAAGTCACTACTATTATATTGCATCAGCACTACCAGCCCTGAAGGTTGTAAAACACCAAAACAATAAAATGCTTACAACACTGTTTTCTATCATGTTCCTAGTTCACTTCCAGATTTTTAAATTTTACGTTCGCAAATAGAACCGTTGTGAATAGTTTACCATCGGGGCAAGACGAGCAATGTCAATAATTCATAACAAAAAAAAATAAAAAATAAATGTCCGAATTTACTTAATGTTATAAGATGATGCTAGAATAGATCCACTGTGACCACTAATGATCTTATTTTTGAATGATAATGTGACTTGTAGAATCATTAAATTTTCAAGTCTTATCCCCAGGACAGGTGGTTTCACTCACAACTAAAAAATATAGTGATTTTTTTTGAACATTTTTGGATTTTCTTAAAAGTAGTAAGTGTTAAGATTTTAAATAAACTGGTATACGTAGCTTCCTTTAGCGTGAGGTTAACTTACAGAATACTGATTATGCTAATAATTAATGCTTTATTTATTGACGATAAAACAATAACAATTCTTAAGGTGTCCGTTTTACCCCGATCTCCCCTAAATATGAAGTTGATTATAGTCACACTGTTTTTTAAGCCATATTATCAAGCCAATGCTTACCTACCAGCTGCCGGTTTTTTGGCACCACTCCAGCTACTATTGCACTTTTGTTTATTGCCTTTTCTTGCGGCACTGCGACGAACTGTGTGACTCATCACACTGCTGGCTGAATGGTTGCTCCATTTCACTGTGATTTAAACCTTTACATGGGCATGTCAATTTGAAG